TAGGTCGGAGCTATCCGTGTGGCCATCAGGTCAGGTAAAGTATATTAGACGATATCGTTGGAAAAATATCAACGGCACTCGGACACCATCATACAACACTTGGACAACATCTCCAGGAATAGTAACGACATTTCAGCAAAACAACTACCGATATTTCAGCATTTCAACAACATCCATACGGTCACGCGAAGATATATTAAATTTATTTCAGATGGCCACTGTCCGCGGAGGGGGACTAAGTAGTTTTGTCTAGGCCTTGTGTTTAGGCATAATGAAGATAGCCCTGTCATGAGATAGATGTGCATGGAAACCTTTTGGGACAGGCTACCCTTTATCACAACTTTCTTAACAATAAACCATACCGCATCGGTGCTGTTTACGGTTTGATGCTTAATTGCGTTGCTGTTTACGGCCTGATGCTTGCGTCGTCGTTTGATGATGCTGCGTCGTCAATGTTTGATGATGCTTTGTTTTGCTGTTTTTTGTTTTTGTTTTTTTTCTGCTTATTATATGTGTTATCTCATCGACTTTACTTTCTTTCTTTAGTTATTCGAGTGACCTATACCGCTTAGATCGAAAGTCATTTTTGGTAATTATGGCAATGATGAGAAGTAATTTTTAATGTCTTCCGTGACCATATTTTTATAAATATTGTGTTGCAGTAAATGACATAAATATACAATTATATGCTTCTGAGTCTTAATCCAAAATTTTCTCAACTTTCTGGGAATCCATTATGAAGAGATCTTATGTAAAAAACGACTTTTTGGGGGAATGATCAAACGTACACTTTTGAATTATACAGGTGATTTTAAAAATAATCGAACGAGTAGCAATGTCAATGCTTGAAAAAGATGGATCACCGACTTTGTTTAAAGTGAGACAAAGATCACTCGGGTAAACCTTGATGAGGTGACATGTGGGGTTTTTTTTTAATGGAACGCTCAATGTATCAGAAATCAATATTCTCAAATAAAATCCGCTATTTTTTTTCTTTAAATGCATTTTCCACCATGATAACATTTGTAAGTTTCATGTCCATTCCATTATCATAGTTTTAAACATATCGTTTTAACATTCTACCAAATCTTGAACCTTTACTGTAAAAAAAATTGTCTACTAAAAATAAAATACTTTTCAACGAATTAATAATTATAAAAATTAACTAAATCATTTCAGATATTGAATTCTAACAAATGAAATGTTGATTGTGATGTTGGAGGAATTCATTAATTGTAATGGATTGAAGTAGTGGATTGAAGTGAGGTGGAGGCCGATATATGGTATGAAATGAGAAGATGATGGTAGCGCTGGAGGTGATAAATCCTTGCTAGCGGTGAAGTTCGTGATGGTGAAAATATCATTGGCGTAGAATTAAACAAAAGTTTTGGAATCGATTTTCAATTCGATTTGATTTTCGATATCAGGAATTTTCGAATGAATTCTTCTAAGCTAAATTGTAATAATTTATCAATGAATATTTATGTTGTATATTCTTGCAGATTTCAAAATTTTAAATAACATGCTTACTGCAAACGTGAGTCATTGGTTTTTTCAAATTAGCTATTGATGCTGTGGTATCGTCGATACATCCATGAGTCTTTATTATATATATATATATATATTTTTTTTGATTTTTCTATAAAATATTAAATTGTTCACTTAAATAAATATAGTTGCCTTTTCTTTGTTTACAACATAAAGGACTTGATACATTATAAATGAATTAATTATCTTTAAAATCCTAAGTAAACAAATTCTTTCAAAAATCATGTTATTTAATTTTTGGTCATAACTTTTCAGGTAATCTCACATTAATAATTAGCAAGTTAGTAATTTTCAATGTAAATTACATTTATAAAATCAAATATTTGAAATCTTGAGAAACTGATATAGAATTTAAAGTCTTCGTGCATGCATTTCTTGAAATCAAATCATGATGTTCATCATAACCCCTATCAGAATTGACAATTCTGTCCCAAGTCCCAATCAAAACTTTCGAGGTCTTTCTCACGATAAAATTGGTGGTGATCAGTAAGGAATCTATAAAATTCAATTAATGTGAATTAAATTAAAGAATATAATTCATATTGCGAAACTTTTCCATATAACATACTTCCAGTCAAACCAAAATCTGAACTTGAAAGAATATTTGAAGAAATCTATGATACATCAATTTTTCATGTCTAAATAAAAAAAATTATTGATTCAACTAGCATTGAAATAATTTTTATCCAATACACACCACACCATACACACCCTACCATGTTGATCAATACTTGCTTTTTTCAGTGTTGATTTCCGCAATCCAAAGGGGAATCAAAATTGGATTTAATTTCAAGAGATCAATTTCAGGAAATTAAATCTTGATGGAATATAATGCATAGTCTCTACTTTATATAATTACATAGGTCAATTAAGGAATTTTTTAATTTTAAATAAACGTAAGAGAACTTAACAAAGCAATTTGCACTGTCATCTTTATCTTAAATAAGCGATATAACTCAGAAATACATTCAGCCAAGTCTTTAATAATATTAGTTTGAAAAATCGTGGACGATTCTTTATAGGTGGAGTCACTCTGAATTATTATTTTGGTCATCATCTCGAGTTATTTGATTCAACCTCCACCTTGCATGAGATCTAGAGTACTTGAACGAGTCGCGCATGTGAAATGACTATGATGGAATTAATCGTTATATGTGTAATCAAAGTTATTTGCTAAATATTATAATTCACACATTTATTCTGATTTCCTTACAGCCCAGTTGCAAATATTAAAGGTATCGTGAAATCGTTCGTGGTTTCAAAATTTGTGGAAGAACGTTTATCATGCATCATATTCAAATCTTTGTTGTAATATACTGAATATAATCAGAAATAAATTTGTTGATTTATTTTTGTTTTGTTTGTTTGGAAATTATTAATATTAGTTAGATTCTTTCACATATATCTTTACTGACCCATCTCATCATACATCGTAAGAATTGTATTGTACATCAACATATTTTAGATCCATAATTTTTTGGAAAGGGAAATTTTAGTGCATGTAAACTTAGCGTAGAATATAAAGATAACCCATCGGTAAACCTACAGTAAATGACTGTCTATGGATAATTATCCTCGTTCGTGTTGTCGCTGACAAAGCCTACGGCTCACAGATTTCTTTCAGGGAGGCACACATTCCCTTTTATTTGAGGGAAATTCTTTTTTATATTGGCAATATTAAAATAATTTTATGATTTAGCAAAAAGTCTTAAAAATTAATTTTTAAAAAAAATGATGTGTATCTTCGAATCTTCTATTATTTTGCGCATATTAATCAAAGCAGTTTGATTTCGATGGCCTCTTGCTTACTTTAAAAATTAGTCTTGTATTTTATTTTCTTTATGTAAATTATATTAAAATTAATCAAAAAAAAGTAAAATAATAGCTTCATTGACGTATTTTAATTATTCCAAAACAAGTAAATTACATCAATTTTCCACTCTTTATTTTACTAAGTATTATCAAATATAATATACATATAAAATAATAATAAATTTAGCAAATATCATATCTTTAAAAAAAAAACAAGTAATATAATTATATTTAGTATAATTATATATAAGTATAAATAATTGAGTCTATGATATCTTAAAATATATAAATAACAGATAGATATTTCATAAATTTAATAAAGCTGCTGCAACTGTCTTTATAGATTTTCCAGCAAAAGAATCAAGAAATATTTTTCTATATTGAGCAATCTTTTTTTATTACATTAATTTAAAGTAAATATAAGTAATATCAAAATTGAAGATTAGTTTATATTTATCTCATATTAATAGGTTTTATTTTTAATCATTAGAAAAGAATTAGGTTGTTTATACAAAATCTTAAATTGACTTTATTTATTCTCTTTATTTTTAAAAAGTAAATTTGAATACTTTCTAAAGTGAGTATTAAATAAGAAAGTAATCTAGTTTTTTCTTAATAAAATCTTATTTTTATACCTTTTCAATTATAATTTAATATAATTTTTTAAATATCCATATTTATTGTAAATTATTATTCTCTTGTTTTCATAACTTGAATTTAAATTGCAATCTGTATTCTGATTTTATTTCCAAATTTCAATTTCAAATCTCCGAAAATGAAAGCACAAATTAAATAGCGATAACTCGGAATTATATTGATAAATTATGTAAAATATTTCAAAATCAAATTACCTAAATTTGCTAAATCCATTTCAATTCTTGCCTAAAGAAGATTTATCATGATTTTAAAAGTTCAAGAATTAAATTATTATTTTCAACAAAAGATATATCATATAGAAATAATTTTTTTTCCTAAATTAATTTGAGATAAGACTTGGAAATTAATCATAATTCCGGTCGAAATCTTAACTCGGGTAATATTATGTTATAGAAACCAAAGTTTTGTGACTTGTATGGGAGTACAATGATTAAGTACGATATCATTTTATTGTTTTGCTTGAGAAATGATAGCCTTTTCTTTTTATCTGAAGTTGCATATATTTTGACAAAAACTACTAATCATTCTTTATGACTTTCACTAATCAACGGACAAACGAAGAAAATGTCCTTCCTTGTAAACCAAAAATAATTAATGTAATACAGCAGAAATCTCATTTTATGGAAGGGTTACAACTTAATTTGTGTATATTCAATAATATTTACCGATGTACAATCATATGAATTATTTTGGAATTTGCAAATTGGGGATCACAAACCCTGGTTATCTTAAACACACAATACAATGCATGATGTACCGTATTTTTCATTGTCAAAAACTTATGATGTTAAATGTATGAATGCAAAACAAAGATCAGTCTTGGGAACAACCTTTGTAAGTAATTAATCACAAAAAAGGTGTAATTAAAAAAAAAAATTGGATTTATTTAAATTTAAAAAAAAAAAAAAAAAAAAATTAAAAAACAATTTTCCTTTTTATTTCTTCTTTCAAAATAAAATTATTTAATTTTCAAATTTCGCAAAATGGTTATAGCTTTGGCAGACTTTGAAATTCCATCAGATTTTATTAAACCTATGAGTTCACTTAATAACGCTGGAGGTGAAAATCGTATTAAAAAAATGTTGTTTTTTAATTCCCCCGTGACTGAAAAAGAAATTGGAAAATTTAAAAAAAATGACCCAAAACTTCGGGAATTGGAAAAAGAAGCCAAATTTATTCATGAAATTTGTAAATGTAGATTTGTCCTTACTTTGTAAGTATAATGAAAATGGAGATACTCCTTCCTTTTATCAGAAAAAAAAACGTTTTTTCTCATTTATTAATACTTTGTGTCCTGTTTTTTTTTCTTTGTAAAGTTATGGATTTACCCGACGAAACACAAATTATAGTGTGATTTATAAATGTGGTGAGTATAACTTACAAACTTATCTTGTGGACTACCCGAATCTGGAATGGACAAAAAAACTATCGATCGCAAGTGGAATTGCCAACGCGTTAAACTTTATTCATAAAGATTATATCTTACATAATGACATTAGAAGGTTGGTATTACGCTGACATAACAATAATGTGATTGAAGTAAATCTCATATTTAAATTATCAATTTTTTAATTTATTAGCTGCAACATTTACTTGAATGCTTGTTTGCAAGTCAAGCTTCATGGTTTTCGCGTAGCAAAAAGTTCAAAAATTTCTCCGGTAATGTTAACTTCAGCTAGTGAACCGACAGATCATAGATGGACTCCTTCTGAGAAATTTCGAGATAATGAATATACTGATGCCAGCGAAATTTATAGGTAATGCATGAAATACCGTATGCATTATATAATAAATATTTTTTTTTTAAAAAAAAAATTTATTTTAATTATTTATTTTATCGGATTAGCTTTTCCTTGATTCTTTGGGAAATCATTAATCATAAGACGCCATTCCATGATGTGGATTACGATGAGATAAAAAACAAGGTTCTCAACGGAGAACATCCACAACCCGTGACAACCAACGGCACGCCTGTTGAATATCAAGAAATAATGGAAAAGGGATGGGATATAGATCCAAACAAACGTCCATCCGCCAAGCAAATGCTTGAAATATTATGTCATTTAGAATCAAAAGAATGGCTTGGTCATAGGACGCCTAGAATTGGGGATGATGAACAACTTTCTCAGCCCAATTTTAAAACGTCAACTTTTTCACCAATGAATTCCAAATTACTTGAATTCCCAATCTCAAGATTATCAGATTTAGCAGCAACGACAGATTCTTGTGAAACTGTATTGAAATTGTTTGAAGAAGCGAAGTATAATAGAAATTTATTTGATAGGAGCGTGAATATTATTAAAGTTGGAAAAATCATGCTTAGTGAAGTTAAACAAACTATCGACCAATCAATAAACCTTTATTGGAAGGATTACATTGAAGAATCTTCAGCTTTTCAAAGATATAGCAATTATTTATTGAATATTTTGCAAGTTAAAGCTTTTATAGAAGATGGAGATAATGCTGAGGTATTTATTAATTTGTTTTTTATTGTATCGTTAACATATTTTCAGAATGTTGAAAAATTATTTTTATTTCTTATTGATTATTAGGTACAACAAGAAATTTCAACATTAAATGATGAATTAGAAAGCATAACTAATGAGTTACACAAAGTAGTTCAAGATTGGAAATCCGAATTTAAAAGATGTAGAGTGTCTAAAGGAAAATTTAAAGCGGTTGCTAAAATGTTAATATTATATAAATCAGTTTCGCCACAATCTATAATCGACTGTGAAATCCCATCATATTTTGTTGATGTAGAAAGTTCATCCGTTGTTCTTGAAAGTAATATTAAAAAAGGGCTTTACATGTACAGTGCATCCGTAGCCGAAAAAGTAGTTGGAAATTTTGAAAAGAATGATCCAAAACTTCTTGAATTGCGAGAAGAAATTGATTATTTGAAAAGTATGAGTGAATGTGAAAATATTCTTAAGGTGTAAGTATAATTAGAAGCAATTTTTTTGTTTTAAAAATCCGTCACTGAATTTTTTATTTACGTGACACAATCATCGCTTTGAAAAGATATGGACTCGTTCGTCGAAACTCAAGTTATAGTGTTATTTTGAAATGGGGTGAATATAACTTACAACCTTATCTTGCGAAGAATCCGAATATGGAATGGACAAAAAAATTATCGATCGCACGCGGAATTGCCAACGCGTTGAACTTTATTCACAAGGAAAACATTTTACATTATGATATTAAAAGGTATGAATGATAATTTTCTGACACATTAAAGTAGAAAATTTTCCAAATAATTATTTCGAATTAAAATATAAAACTTTTTAAACTAGTGATAACATTTACTTGGATATTCGTTTACAACCTAAACTTTGTGGTTTTCGTATCGCAAAAGATTTGACAATCATGATGACTTCGGCTAATGAGCCAACGAACCCAAGATGGACTTCTTCTGAGAAATTTCGAGGAGAAGAATATACTAAAGCGAGTGAAATTTACAGGTAATATTATTTTTAAAAAAAAATATTTATAAAAAAAGTATCGAGAAATCTAACATCTTTTTTTTTTAATTCATTGCATAGCTTTTCCTTAATCCTTTGGGAAATCATTAATCACAAAGTTCCATTCCACAACGTAGATCCTGATGAGATTAAAACCAAGGTTCTCAGCGGAGCACATCCACAACCTGAAACAATTAATAACGCACCAGTCAAATATCAAAGAATAATGAAAAGAGGATGGGACTTGGATCCAAGACAACGTCCATCAATTGAAGAAATAATTAAAGTATTAAATGAATTAGATTCAGAATGGCATAATAGTTATATCGGAGATGAAGATAATAAATTACTTTCGCCAAATGCTGCATTTAGGGATGATGTTTCATTTGAAGATAATGCTTCCTCATTTTATACGGATTTTTCAAATTCAAATTACGGTACTGAAGTAAATTTAAATGTTACAACACAAATTTCAAAAAAACATATATCTTTAGATAAGCTTAATCCATTCCACAAACATTTAGATATTGAAGATGCGATTATATTACATAATAATAGACAATACAAGAAGGCATGGAAATTGTTTAAAGAAATCGAGAGAAAAACTGGGACACCTGATGCGAAATTTTGTGTAGGATACTATTATCTACAAGGATTTCATAATGGACGTGGCGGCATACCAGATCCAGATGCAAGTTTAAAATATTTATATCAGGCAGCAAAAGATGGTCATCGTAACGCTCAATATTGGTACGCTGAAATACTTTTAAATTCGAATTATAAAATAAAAGCTCAAAAATTCGATAGAGATTATAAACTTGCGATGGTATTTTTGGGTGAGGCCGCAAAGCAAGGTAGTATTTCCGCCCTGAGAGATTTGGGAGAAATTAAGAAGAAAGGGAAGTACGGTAGCTCTCATGATCATACTGTTGGAAAGGAAATGATTAGAAAAGCTCATACTATGAGTTTACTTTATTCCCTAGACGGTCTAAGATAGAATTTTGCAATACCTAATATTATATAAACCTGTATGTAATTTAAAGAAAATATACGTAAATTAATTTAAAAAAAAAAAATTTTAAAAATTTAATTATTATGCAAACCATTTTCTAATAAAATTATGTTAAAAATTTTATTACTTTTAAAAAAATTTATGTTATAAAATTTTTCACCGTATCTATATAAATTATTAAGTTACTATTACAGAATAATTGAAAATATAAATCGGATTATAAAAACATAGTACAAACAAAAAGTATTCGGGAAGATCGTAATGAAAGATTTCGAAACAAAGTTGCCAATGATAAGTGCGAAAAATACCAATTATAAATAACTCTATTTATTATGAAGACGAATTAATAATTTTCAAATTCTTTAGGGTTTAACACAATTTAATTTGATGCAACTGGTTTAATGATTTTTGCTTAAATCTATAAAAAAATATTACTTTAAAAGAAACTTCAATCTTATAGTTTGGTAAATGACTTCTAAGCCATATGAACTTCATAAAGCGTTCCGTTCCCCTTCCAAGATTATTGCTAGCATCAACTTTCGTGTCACAACTAATGCTCCGAACCGGTCGGGTCGACCCGGGTTAAGTTGTCGAGTCGGTTTAGGGTCGTAATTTTTAAGACAGAGACCCGAATTAAAATAACCCGTCGGGTCGGGGGGTCATACTTTTGCACGACCCGGGTGATCGTATAATTATAATTTGTACTACACAAGAATTAAAGTTTGACATAATAAATATGTTAAAACTCATCGAACAGTAAAATGTCTTACTGTCCGTAAGTAATTTTGAGGTTAGTTATTACTATTTACTTTTATTTAAAAATAAAATTATTTAGAAATAAAACTTGGTTTATAATATTGGTGATGAATATCATGCCAACAAAGCGGTTTTTTATGGTGGAGCTTGTCTAGTTACAGCAGCAAAACATTGATGCTTTAAGTATATTGTTGCCATCAGTTCTTTGATGTTATATTTATAAACGAATGTAATATAGCAGCCGGATTTTAATTATGTAATAATGAAGCAATAATTATTCAATAAAATTTAATATTTCAGTACTGCCTCAACGTCGGCGCTCTGGTCAATCTTTATTACATGTCGATCGTTGCGAAATTACCAAGGCTATTGTTGCATTCAGTTCTTTAGGGTTTATAAACGAATGTATAATATAGCAGAAGGATTTTAATTATGTAATAATTATGCAAAAATTACTTAATAAAATCTAATAAATCAGTACTGCCTCAAACGTCGGCGCTCTGTACTTACGAAATTACTACAATAAGGGAATATCGGAGAAATTATATTTTATTAAAGATATAATTATATGCACTGCCCTCTTTAACACAAACATTAATCCATCTCTTTTATACATTATTTTCGAGGGGACAATTTGCCCAGAGGACAAATTGACTAGAGATCGTTTTGACCAGTCGTCAACTTGACCAGAGGTCAATGGTCAACTTGCCAAGTGATCTTCAAAATTACTAACTTTATTAAGCAAACAACAATACAATTAATGCTAATAGTTTAATTAATTTTTTTAAAAATATTATTATATCACATGCGTAATAATTTAATTGCCATTGTAACACTATTAAAAATATTTAACTTGGGGAATTTCGGGGAAATTATATTTTATTTTCGATATCATTGAAAGCAAACTGTCTATTCGAACCCAATCATCGATCCAACCTTTTTATGCATTAAATTTGAAAGGACAACTTGCCCAGAAACAAGTTGACTAGAGATGTGGTCAATTTAATTCTATGCTGTTCTTCTAAATTTTCGGGTCAGCTCTAACTTTATTTAGCAAACAATATAATCGGGTAACTAATATTAAGTTTATTAAAATAATTAATTCATCGCATACGTAACGATTAACTAGCCATTGTAACAATATACAATTCGTGAATGTATGTGTTAAAATCAAGGTTTTGAAGTTAAATTGGAATTATTTTCGATGCATTAACTAGCATTGAAAAAATGAATTTATACTATACAATAAATAATTTATAAAAACACCCGGTAGAATATACATATTGAACTTCGTTTCTCGGCATTAACATTATCCGTAAAACCCTGGTTGTCACGAGTTTAATATAATCAGGTCAGGTTATGTAAATGCTGACCCGAATATTTTTAACGGTTCATTTGCACTTTCTGGTCGAGTTCGGGTTTCTCTGAAACCGACCCCTTCGAAGCACTAGTCACAACTCATCATTGCAATCAAATTCTTTCCACAATTTAAAAACTAAAGGCATACTTTATTTTTTTACTTCGCATTCCATGTGGTATGATATAAAAGCGTTTCGGCAAGTAAACATTTGGAGTAACTTAAGAAACTATTCAATTGTAAGTTAAGCGAAAAATATTTGCGATCCATTAACAAAATCTCGATTTCTATCCTTGTAGAAACTTTTCGTTAGAAAATTTATTCATGATGTTGATTTAATGAAAAAGGGAAATTTATATTTGCCATAAACATGAAACAAAAGTGCTTAAGTTTCAAAATCATCCTTGTTTTACAGCAAAATTTTCAACAGTTTCATATAGTCAGGTCATTTTATTTTGCCGCAGAATACTTATCCATCAAACCGTTCGAGATATCTCCAAACGAATAATAGATTTATAAATAAATCCATGTATATCTGGTTCTTTCAAGCTGTCATTTCTTTCTTTGCCATTACTAACTTTTCAAGCAGTCAGGTGACTGTTTTTAGTCAAAATCATAAGGTAACAGTTAAGATTTTGACTTAAAATTAACGTAGATATCCGTAATACATGTCCATTTTAAAAGTTATATAATGAACAGTATATTTAACACGACGGTCAGTTATTAAACAAATTGATTTTATAGAATATTAAATATAATGTAAATTTTATGGAACAGTACATAATCCGTTTATAATTTTAAATTTAATTCTTATAATATATTCCATTAAAATCTATGAGCCATACCTATCTCGTTAGGTTCATGTAAGATATTTTTTTCTAAAAATCATTTTGGGCAATTTGGGCATTAATATTTAAATATTGATGTTTGTTCATATTTTTTATATAATTATTAAAAGATTTAAATATATTTATATACATGAAATTACATCTCATTATTACTATTGTAGTTTATTTTGTTTTTATAATAAGATATTGTAATAATTATTTTTTAAGAAATTATTTATTAAGCTAGTATTATATATGCCATATTGAATCATTGTTATTTTCAAATTTTTTATACTTACGCTTAACAAAAAAATGTATTATAATTTACTTGAATAAATTTATTTTCTAAGAAGATTTAAATATTAAAGAAAATAAATAAAATGAACCATACTCATGCAATGAATAAAATTCAAGATAACAAAGACACTAAAAAAAATTAAAAAAATCAAATTAAAAAAATCCAAATTACCAAGCATTAGAAGTAAGTAAATAAGAAATTTATATTAATTAAATAAGTAATTGATTTTTATAAAATTAAATCATTAAATCATTATATTTTAATAAAAAAAATTTACCTTTAAATACTAAATCTAATAAAAATATTTGAATATTGAATCTAAAGATCTAAATAATTAATTATATTTTTCAATAATGTTTCTCTTACTTACAAAATATCAGATATTGGTATTTATAATATAGATAAAGAAAGGAATGAAAATTAAAAAACCAGAAACAAAAAAAAGGTATATTATTAAAGCTTTAAAAATTCCAGTATAGTTCAGATTAGAAGCAATCTAATCTAATTTGAGATTTTTGGTTCAATTCAATTCAGATTATAATTCAAAAATATCATTCTGAATTGAACTAATCTAAAACTTTTGAATAATCCAATCTGAACTGAAATTTTTCAGATTATTCTGAAATTTTAGGTTATTAAATATTAATAAAAATTCTTCTGACAGTTAAAACATGATTTTTATTAATATATTTTCTAATGAATGTTACCTTTGACAATACAGTTATAATAATAAAAGCTGCATTTAATAGTTTAAGTGTGATTTTATTAAAAAATTTTGCATCCAAAATGTCAAAAGTAACTTTTATTAGAAAAAATGATAATAAATTTACCTTTGAACTGTCATGCGACTTTTATTATGAAAAATAATAATAAAGTCACTTCTGAGATATCAGATGTGATAGTAAAAGACACCTCAGAAATGACTTTATTAGAAAGTTAAGCCCAAAGTGTCAGAGGTAACTTTTATTATAAAAAATAATAATAAAAGTTGCATTCAAACTGTTATAAATAACTTTTATTATAATAATAAAAGATACTTTTGAACTGTTAGACATAAATTTTATTAGAAAATACTAAAAATAGTCATCTTTAAAAGTTTGGATGTGATAATAAAAGCCACTTTTAACAATTTAAATACTATAAAAAAGCTACTTCTAACAGTTCAGATGTGACATTATTAGAAAAAATCAAATCTAAAGTATCAGAGGTGACTTTTATTATATAAAGTAATAATAAAAGTTATATTCAAACTATCAGAAGTAACTTCATTATAAAAATAATAACAAAGTCACATTTAAACTATCACGTGACTTTTATTATAAAATATATTAGAAAATACTAATAAAAATTTCTTCTGAATATTCAGATGTAATAATAAAAGCTACTTCTGACAGTTCAAATTTGAATTTATTAGAAAAGGTCACACCAGAAATATTGGAAATAACTTTTAAAATATTATAATAATAAAAGTCACAAATAAATTACAAAAGCTATTTTATTATTATATTTTCTAATAAAAGTCATCCTGTCAGTTCAAATACAACTTTTATTATTATTTTTATAATAATAATTACCTTTAATAGTTCAGATGCAACTGTTATTATTATTTTCCTGGCATTAACAGTCAGTACAACTATTTTTTATAATAAATGTCACATTTAAACTGTTAAAAGCAAGTTTATTAATATTTTTTTTCAATATATCAATTCAGATTTAACTTTATTGTATTTTTAAAAGTACTTTCTAA